GGAATGCCTGTCCTAGAAAAAAACATGCAGAAGAAAGAAAAAGATATATGCACTAAAGATGAGACAGTAAGTGACTGCTTTTGGGAAAACAAAAAGAAAAAAAGAGGGGAAAAGGAATGGTTGAAGCTCAATGACTTAACAGCTTTTAATGCTGTAAATTAACATATATGAAAATAGTAATTGTAAACCAAGCTCTTGTTCCAGTGCCGATTTCTTCATTTCAGGGAACACCACTTAACCTGCAGCAATTTATAATCAGCAACTTTGATCTAACGTTAGTACTTCTCGTATCCAAACACACTTCTCCTCCCAAAGTCCCATGAAGTGTTCCAGTAAGCAAAATATTATTACACAACAGCAGATGCATTGCTACACAGTCAGAGATGGCATGTAATCATTTCTTAATAGTACCAAACTATCAAACTATTATATATGATTAATGCTCAAGCTGGTTTAAAAGTTGCCAAATGTGTGTGCCTATAAGTAGTCAACCTCTTGGGCTTTTTTTCTTAACCAGAGTCATAAACTGTACAGTAGCCTTACCCAAAAAGATAGGGCCAAAGCCAGATATCAAAAAGTAGTACTGTCTGGCATACTTATTTCCACTGACCAAAAAATCAGTGACAGCCAGTGCACTGACTAAACATCACTTGAAACTGTAGAACTGCCATTCTTTTATTTCTGAGGATCCAGGGTGAATTAAAGGCTAAATTGGATTTGCATTTCCATTAATAGTGGGTTATCCTATGACACTTTTTATTAGTAGCTAAAATCTTATGCTTCTAGGTCAGGAAACCTAATGTAGCACTGACTTTCCTGTGGATGTCAAAAGGCAGAGCTGGAATTTGAGCTCAGAGGACACCCACTCCTTACCTTCTGTTCAGACCACTTCCTCCATTCCCTTCCTCCCTGCATGCATTAGCAAAGGAGTTTGCAGCTAGCCTTGCTCTGAGCAGCAGGTGGGACTAGGTGACTGACATCTCTTCCAGCCAAAAATCATGCTATAGTCCCATGATTGTGTGGAAATGTCTATTACATCAGGAACTAGTAAAAAATTCTGAACTTTACCTGCTTTAGGAGACAGGATAAAATAAAATTAGAGAAATAAACTCCCTTAAAGTTTATGGTCTACACTAATCACTAATAGACAAGCACAGCTGAATTAGATGACCATTTCTCAAATGGTAGACATGTCTAGCTCCCCAAGGAACCATGCTTAGAGCATCATGGCCTCTTGTAATTTCCCAGTCTTTTATGGATTACTTCCTTGTTTGATTTTCCCACTGTCCCCATAATTCCTCTGGCTTTTACATTACTAATAACACTTCACTTGGTTAGTTCTACATTAAAAAAGAAAGCAGGTATAATTGCATGGATTGCATGAGATTGTTCTCTTCCCAGATACTACTGACTTCTTGCTTAAAACAGAATAAAACCTGGATAAGCAGAAATGTTTATTCAAGCCTTTTAGGGGGGTTCAAGACTGGCCAACAGCAGAGTTTTGGCAGAGTGAAACACAGGTTTATTGAGGATTGTGTGTAATCAGTGCTAATAAACAGGTAGACGTGCAGCTTTTCTATTCCTGCAATCTAATAAACAGTTATACATGAGACAAGCATTAACCCACAGTTTTACTGATCAAAAGCTCAATGCACTTCTTTACTAATTAAATACCTTCTCATACTGCAGTATTTTATTATGCTGTAAGGTATCTGAAGATTTCCTAGAGTACAGATCAGACTATATGCTTGTATCATGCCTGTCTGACTCTTTGTCCTAGGATTTCTAGATTGTTTACCAAGGAATATTCTCCTGTTTTCCACTAATTTCCTGATGTATCCATTTGAAAACCTCATTGGCTAACGGCCAACAAATAGAGCTACTGAGAGGTACCACTGCTTCAGTATCATGTTGTGTCCTAAATTCCAAGCACTTTAAGACCCAATGAAATTCCACCAAAATGCCTTAATTACATTTGCAGTAGTCAGGCATCTCAACTGATAAAACAGCATAAATAGATTTTAAAAGGGTTGCAATATATTAATCACCAACAGAATTAATTAATTTTAAATGAAAGAGAACAGTTTGGGAACAACAAGAATCACTGTTTTTTTTTGTTTTGTTTTTTGGTTTTTTTTTACAATGATCAGGCAGTGCCAAAACTTCCAGTCCCACCACTGCAACAGACCTTACACAGGTACCTACAGTGCATGAAACACTTGGTGCCAGAGGAGCAATTTATAAAGACCAAGGTCATAGTGGAGAAATTTGGAATTGCAGGAGGCCTGGGGGAATCCTTGCAGGAAATCCTTGAGGAAAGAAGGGAAAAGACAACGAACTGGGTAAGCAAATGCAGATGAGAAAAATTATTGTGATGTTGGGTGGTACTCATTTATAAACTCTTTGTGATGTTCTCTATATGATCAGTTCCTTCTTTGTGGGTTAATGCAAACAGGGGTCACATCAGATTCCACCAAAAGGAATTAATATTTCTGACATATTAGGCCAGAATTTTCAAATTATGTCAAAATCTATGTCATTATTATGTTTTCAGATCACTAGTTTGTTGACATGAATTAAGGAATTTATGTACCTTAAGTGCATGCACACAACTGTTAGCTCTACCTGTAGGAAGCACTATATAGACCAAATAGGATGCAATTTCTTCCTTTCCCTTTAATAACAAGATTTAGAGTTTTTATCAAAATGAAAAATGCTTTCTGATAAAGCTATAAAAAGTGCCTTGCATACCCATCTAGCCAAAGCTCTGATCCAGTCAAATTATTCTGAAATTGCATACGTTAGGATAGTAATTACTCCTTTCAAATTAAACTATTATTTGCAATTCATTGTCACAGCATACCAATGTAGTTACCCAGAAGTATTTACTTTGCCGAATAGACACACATGTATACATATATATATATACATATATATATATATATAGACACACACCACACAGACCATGCTGAGACCTCAACCTTTTAAAAAGTCCAGCTTTCTGCTTCCTGAGGCAGGAAAATTAAATAAGCCATAGATAAAATAGATTTTATCATTCCACAAAGTCACAGTTCATCCTGCCTGCATTAAACATATTAGAATATGGCACCTGAAAACTAGGAACATTTATTTTATTGAAGACTTTCCATCCCAGCAAGGAAGAGAGACACTGAATGGTTTCAGAGATATAGTGAAATCCTGCAGGCTTGCTACTGATGTCGGTTAAGTGTGGTTCTCCCTTAACTTTTCAGTTGTGTGACCTGAAAGAAAGCTCCATCACATTGCTGTTAGTCAGCAAGAAAGGCTACAGTACTGGCAGTGCTTTTAATTTAAAAGCAGTGCTTAATTTCTGAGCGACTTGTTGACATAGTCTGAGGGATTCACTAAATGCCACCCAACCTCATTTTGTTATTCTTACATATAACATCATGGTTTTGGTGGCTAAATTAGCAATTGCTTAAATAGTGTTCCTGATAACAAATAGTGTTCCAGGAAACCGCTCTTCATTTCACCACTTACATCATGACAATTATACAGGAAGGATCTATCAGCATTTTCTGAAGTGTCTCAACTGAAACACTGATTATTAAAATTAAATACAATTCTTATTATAAACTAGAAGATTTTTCTTTTGAATCTTAACTTCCTGGGTATACAGCTCTAGCCTGTTCTCCTGAAGACTCCAGAGACTGTGGGGGAAGCATCTGTTCTAACAGCAATTAAATATCTCAGAGGAAAACTTTTTCAACTGATGCATGCCTTCATAGTTATTTCTGCATAATTTCATTGTTGTTTATAGTTCCTATATGCAAAGCATGCCCTCTAAACTCAGAAAGACCTTTGTATAAAAATCTCCATTTTCCAAATAATGATTCTTCAAACTCTGCTCAGATATAAAGAAATACGATTAGCATACATTTCTGTTTTCCATAAAAATGGTTAGAAATTCAATATGTCTGTCTGGGTCAAGCATCACCAATCTACATTTTTGACAGTGGACACAGAGGAAATTCTCCAGGGGCCCTAGCCACATGCCAGTATCTTCACGACTGAACCATTAAGCTTGGGATATTATTTTCCCACTCTGTCTTACTGTAGGACAGTATCTGATGGCTAACAGCAGAGCACCTTGGCATCATTGACAAATAGTTGAAGCCCTCTGAAGAAAGCCATCACTAGTAAAACTCTGTCCATCTTAAATACATCCTTTCACTATTCAAGCATCAGCAGTTAGGATGTTGAACTAAAATATTTTTTATTGTAGAGAAAAGCAAGCAATAAAATACCCAAGCCACCACAATACAGAGCTTGTTTACTTTTTACTGGAACACACTGTAAATTGCCATTGACTGAAAAACAGGATTATGGAATTGTGGCTGATTTCAGCTGAGCTGAGGTCACAAAGCCCAGAAAGAAAATGCTCAGCAGCTCCATTAATCAGAGCCCACGTCTGACACCAGGAACACCGAGCTCTCTTCCCTCATATCCAGACTACCTTTCCATGTGTTCTTCATAGCTTTAAGATTTCATGTTCTCTTCCCTTAGGTGTTTAACTACTGGCTGGATGACATGTACCTCAACAACCGGCTAGCTCTCCCAGTCAATTCCAGCCCAGCAATTATCTTTGCTCATCAGTGTTTCAAGGATGTAAATGACCAGCTGAGGTAATGTACTACAACTTTGCAGCTTTTGGTAAATGAAAGCTATTTTAAATATACTGCTTATGCAAAAAGACAATCATCTTTCATTAAGAACTAAGGGCTGTAACCATTAAATTATTTCCTACTAGGCCTGCTGACTGAGGACAGTATTTCTGGGGTTACTCCTACTGATATTCAGACATGAAAGTGTCATTACTGTTACATTATTGCATGAAAAAAAATTGTAATGGGATTTATAACTTTTAAAGGAATATTTGCAAAGCTTTTTGTTGTATAATTCAAGTGAACCATTTTGTGATGGAAAAAAATAGCAATTTCTGACACATTGTTTAAAGGAAAACAATCTTTAACACGCCATAACTGTGACCTATAGCCACCCTGCAAACTGAAATGGCCATGCTTGTTGCTTTCTGGTGCCCTGAAAGGGCACTAGGAGCACAGGGGATCGAAGAATGAGAAATCATTCCTCCCCAAGAACACTGCTTCCTTTCAGGCTTGTTCTTCCCAGCCCTGAACTGACCTTTCTCCTTTGAGCTATTGTGGGCAATTACAATAATTTAAAATCTGAAAAGGTAAGAAAGTAGCCAAGCACAGAATATACATCTCCAGACACCCTTAAAAAAAGGATTCCATCCTTCAGCCTTTGCCAAAACATATTCTCTTTTTAAAACAGTAAACCAAATCAAATCTACCTTCATATAGCTCAATTTTCCTCTTTGCTTTTAGCACTCTCCAGCTGCTCATTACAGAAAGAATTAACTGCATGTGAATTTATGCTATTATAAAACAGACAGAACCTTGAGGCTGATGTGTGTTATTTTAACATTTTGCATAGACAGCCAGTCTATTTTTTTTTTTAATATAACTATAAATTCTTCCATTAATTACTAAGTAAGTTCACTGTGCACACACCTTTTGAAAAACCTCCACTTTGCATTTTCTAATGCACCTGCTTTAGCAAGAAGATATTTTTCTCAGACCCTCCCATTCAGACACAGTACAGATGGACAGTGTCAAGAAATAGTACACCTGTCTGCAGCTCTGTGGAAGGATATCTGCTTAGGACAGGAAGTACTTTAATAAATGGGACAGCTTATGAGTACTGATATTGAAACTCATGTTAAGGATTCTATTAAATATTCTATTTCTGCTCCCATTCTCTAAATAAATGCTGTCAGGCTTCCTCCTGTGGTAGTCTGTTTAACCATTTGAAGGGACCATCTCTAGGATTCCATATTTCTCTTGACATTAATTAATTTAGGTTTTGGGTGGGGGAAAAAGGGGTCCTTGCCAAGCCAGAAGACTTTCTCTCTTTGTGTTGTGTCATCTATCATTCAGGCTCTCCTCTGTCTCTCAGAAACAGCCCAGTGTTGCCAAATGACAAAAGACTGATATAATCACTTCTATCTGCTACTTGCAGGTTTGCCGCCAATCTCATTTCAGGAGTGCAAGACTATAAAGCTTTACTGGACACGTAAGTAGCTTGGAAGGAGAGCTGCTGCTTGAGTATTCACAGGGCTTCTGATTTAAGGGTGCTTTAATATGCACAAAGTCAGGCTGCATTGCACCTCTCCACCATTTGGGAGGGCTGGGGCTCCAGCATGCTTCAGGGCAAGTGCTTCAGCAATTTCTTATGCATTTTCTGCTTTATTTCTGCAATCTAACAGGTTGGAGAAGGATCCTTTTTGATGTCTGGTAGTCATCATTCCAGCACACGTAGTACTGTGTACATACACAATCTGTCTAACAGAGATACGGAGACCACACCAGGAAGTCTGTGTTCCCCGCACCCAAAGAGCAACAGCACTGCTGTTACACAGACTGCACATCTTCCCTGGCATCAGACATCTGCCAGGGTGAAGCACCCCTCCATGTATTGCACCCTCCAGTTAGAACCTCAGTCCTCCTGTCTCCCTCCCCCCAAAAAAGAAAGAAGGTACCCCACACCAGGAGAAGGAAGCCTCACCACAGATAGGCAGGTTAATTGGCTACTAAACATAAGTAGTTACTTATGCCATTGTTATTTTCTGTATATAAACACAGGGAAAATGAGTTATTCTTTAAGTCATCTATGAGGTAGCTCATAACAGCATTTTACATAGCACTTCTTAACCCCACCTAGTATGTTCCAAGTTTACTGCAGAAATTTCTGCTCACCAAAGAATCAGAAACAGTGGAGAGCCAAGCAGAACAGCAACTGCACCATAGTAGGGAAGGGGTCATTTTCCTTTCTGGAAATAAAAGAACCCTATTTGATATGCTTTAACCAATACTTATTTGGATGAGGAAGGCAAAGTCCGTAATCAAACAATAAAGTCCCTATCATCAATTAGATAAAAGAATTATCAATTATCAATTAAATTATCAATTAAATAAAAGAAAGAGGAAGAGGCTGTTTAATTTTTAACTTCAAAAGTCTGACAACTACTTAGAAACTACAGAAGAGGTATTTATTTACGGACATGTGCTTTTGCCCAAGATATGCCATGTAACTGCATACACCAGTGCTGGCATGCTGTGAAGTATTACTGCATGCTAATATAGTTTGCTGCATTTCTACGAGACAGAATCTGAGACGACATAAAGAAACTATGTTGTTCAAAGGATAATTGAAATTATTATTTTGGCCTTGCTACTCTAAATCCAAAGACTCCTTGTGATCAGATCTGCTTGCCTTAGATCAATAATAATTTAAATCCTCACTACTGTGTCCTCATGTTCTTATTACTGGTTGCTTATCACCCATTCTGTATAATTATGAGGACAGAATAATTGTAACATTTTCAGTTCTTTCTTGCTGTTACAAAGTATACTGCTGGTTTCCCTGGGACTATCCCACATGCAGATGCATAATATTTCAGCCGAAACCCAAACATTTAGTTTTAACTGGACAGATATTCCATTCATTTGCCAGCACTAAATATTTCAAACAAAGCCTACCATTTTTAAATTAGTTAGAAAATCTGAGACAGACATCTCCTAAACCATTACAAGATTTTCTGGTGCCATCATTTAGACTTAATAACCCCTTTCTTAACTGCTGTAATTACAGATTGTCTTACCTAAATCTTCCATGCTATTCCATCCTTTTTGATCAATATTCTCTTTAAAATTTTGTTAAATATAAAGGAATTTCTGCATTATGCAAAATGTGAGAGAAGATGAACACTAATTACCTGGTTTACTGATAAAGGAAAAAAAAAATAAAAATAAAAAGCACCTATACAAGGAAATAAGTGATAACAGAGGATTTGAGAGCCAGGAGCAGAAGTGACTGTCCCTGGTTTAGAACTGCAACAGTTCTAAAGAGACAGTGAAACAAGATTAACTAGTATGAAACATTACTGTGTATCAGCTGTGTGACAGTAACTCTCCTTGTGTGCTTCTTTGCCTTTCCTGGGCAAGCTGAAAGCTTGGTCATCTTTTGCTGAGGGAAAACCTGTGCACCACAAGATACTCTTCCTCCTGTGGTCTCTGCAGCCTCCCTCAAGTGACAGCACCATTATTTCCTGATGCATTGTCAGAGGGATATTTTACAATCCATAATCATAACTGTGATAACTTGGTTTGTTGTGTTTTTTTTTCTGGCCACAAAAGATGCCTTTTAGTAGGTTTTCAGCACTTAGTCCCCCATAGGTCTAAGTAAGGATTAGCACATAAATGAGCCTTTGGAAAACTGGAATGCCCTCAGTGTGGCCCCAAGCCTTCCTGTTCATCAGGCAAGGCCCTCTCTCATGCTCTTTTACCACTCCACACAGTACAGGGCCACTGTGTTTTGTAGCAAATATCAGGAATAGGGTTTTTTTTGTCGTTGTGGGTTTTTTTTAAGTGCTGTCTTTTCCCAGCTGTTCTGCTGACTTCTGTCCTGGCAAGCTTCTGGGGTCCCATCTAGGCAGGCTTCCCATACACATTGCGAAGTTGCTTGTGACCTGCTATTCTTTTAGTTTCTGCTAGATGATAATGCAATTGCTTAATGAGTATGCATGAAGCTGCCAGGAATGATGTATTTAACTTTGGTATGAGAATTCATCTATTTCCCTTATACTGTAATCTCATTTTATTATTCAATTTATGTTATACCTGATCTAATTGTAACAGAACAAAGGACAGATTAGATTTCTTTTCCTTTCTGTCTCTTTCTTCCCTCTCTCCCCTCTTTTCCTCTGGCTTTTTCTCTTTCTCTCTCTCCAGCCATGCTTTACCTGTTGATTTTGCTCGTGGACAGCTGTCCGGTCATCCTCTCTGTATGAAGCAATACTATGGACTCTTTTCTTCCTATCGTCTTCCAGGACATACCAAAGATACCCTCGTGGCCCAGAAAAGCAGCGTAATGCCAGAACCAGAGCACATCATTGTTGCATGTAACAATCAGGTAAATGAGTGTTCTTTCTTTATACCTTTCTATATTTCTTATTTTGCTTAAATTCACTCAAGAGAGCCTAATCTAATCACTGTCCAGAAACACAATTAGCGTGCTATGTATGAGCTCACTTCATACCAAGCATTCGCTGTCAGTATTTTCAAAAGATGCTTCTGCAGCATTTTTGTTCTTAGCCCACATTATGTTCCAAGTACAGTGATGCAGAAAGGAGGAATGTTGCAGAATTCATTTCCTTTCTCATTCAAACAAAAATGTTTATTAAACAGAGATGAAATCACAAAGAAAAAAATAATCTTAGACTGCATTCACTGGAAATGCTTTTCTCTTGACAGTCAACTATTGGCACACAATGCATGGCACACATGCTGCCATCCCATGCAGAGGGTCCTAAGTTATGCCTGAAGAAGTTAGCTTAGGTGCAGGAAGAAATACTGAAGCATCAGAATGAATCTGCCCCAACCAATAAATGCAGTCAAGCAACAGAGTATATTAGCTGGGCAGAGCACCTTATAGCCCAGCTTGACTATTTGTAGTACTGGAGCTGTGTCTGCAGGCCGCTTTGGAATGAGGGGTAGATCCCAGTGGTCCCTTCATCTCAACAAAAAGTTCTCTAGATCTTGTATGTTATTTTTAAACAAATACTACCATGGAAATTATTTACATAAGTTCTGATTTTATCTCTTCAGGGTTTCTTAAACTTATTCAAATAACATGTTTTATTTGAGCCCAATACACAGTGTAAGTCCCTTATAGCAACTGGCATCAATTTTGTGCTCTACTGTCTGCAGGCCTGACTCTCCAAGCAGGACTTCTGCACCTCAACACCTGCCCAGGCAAAAGCAAAATGTTGGACCACTAAGGGTCCAATGCATCTGTGACTGTTCTGACTTCTGTATTTTTTTGCAGTTTTTTGTTTTGGATGTTGTCATTAATTTCCGTCGACTGAGTGAAGGAGATCTTTTCACTCAGTTACGAAAAATAGCCAAAATGGCAGAGAATGAAGAGGAAATGCTGCCTCCAATTGGCCTGCTGACAACAGATGGAAGAACAGAGTGGGCAGAGGCCAGGACAATCCTTATGAAAGGTTAGCAGCAGCAACCCCAGCTTTCTGTTCTTCATCATCTTCCTTCTCTTCATCCTCACCATCATCACCTTTCTTTGCTGGGAGTGAACATTACATCAAATATAGGACTGAATGTGCAACCTCACTGCCAAATTTTTCTACTAGGAGGAAACTCAATAGCTGTAAGGGTTCAGATGCGTGTTACCAGGGAAGCAGCAGATATGGTTTGACCCTTTGGCTATGTGTGCTTGTTACACCATGTAAATAGCTCTCACCTATTCTGTTTTTCATGACATAAATTACATTGCATCAAAGTTTGTGATTTGTCTCTTTCTTCACATCCATTTTGTAACAATAGGAATGATGTATTCTCCTAGCTTTTGACAACTATTAGACATTTTTTTGTCCCATCTAACAAAGGCATCTTCAAGCTAAACACCTATTGAATCTAGCTGTGTACTCTCTCTAGTCAACAGAGAAAAATAGAAAGTACCAGTCCGCATTCATCTGAATCTTCAGTAAGTATCTAAGAAAGGTGACAGCAGTTATTATCTGGGGATAGCTCTCTCTCTCTTCCAACAACAGGCAGCCTTTATCTGTCTTGGAGTCTGAAAGCAAATGCCTGACTTTGAGAAAGCTTAAAATAAGGGTAGGATTAGTCACCTCTATCACTTCACACCTTGTATCTTTTACCCTGAAGCTAAGTGATGCAAAAACTCTTTTTGACACCTTAGATTACTTATGTATTCATGTTTCCCTCCTGAAAAAAAAAAGTCACTCATCTCTTTATCCCAAGTTGAACGATGCTACAGAAAATACTACTGTTTTACCAATGCCCTGCAATATACAAGAGTTGCAGATAGCATAAAAATTTGTCTACCACCCCAAGGATGATCTTCCCCTTTCTTTTCTGACTTTCAGTGCTAATAATATATTTTCATAGACAAACACACAGACACACAGTGTTGGACATTATTACAGCATTATTATGTGGTACATCTTCAGGCTCTCCCCTCATCTTTCCTTTTAAAAAAGGAAAAAAAAAAAAAAAAAAAAGAGATACCTTAATTTAATGAAAACTGAGATAAACACCTATTTATTTATTTTCATGCCATGACTTTGAGTAAAACAGTGAATACCTTGAAACCTGCATCAAGATCATCTTTGTAAACCTATATAACTCTAAAGAAAAAAAGAGAAATCAACAAAAACTAGCAGAACCATCTCTATAGTGTTTTTTGATTGTCTGGCATTTGCCAAAATATTCATTTTAATGAAGAAGCAAACCAACTCACTTAAGCAGCTGAAAAAAACCTGATTCTGCACTAGCAAATATCACAGCACCATGATGTGAGCCTTTTCTAATCAAAGCAGGAATCCTATCTAGACCACTTGTATTAACACAGCTCTTCTATATAATGCATTGCTGTTACACATGGATACACTGTTATTAACGCCCTTTTTTCTTTCCTATCTCTGGTGAAATGTTCATGCAATAATAACTGAGGAAGACAAAAGCCTCTAGTGAAGCAGTTTGAGATGGAAGGGTCACTCCACAGGTCTTCTGTAGGGGCAGGAAAGAGAGGATGCTTCAGGACAAAGATGATGTATGCAGTGCTTTGCAGAGATTATGAAGGAGATACATGGGCCTGCACAGACCTACAAGTAGAGGATAGGTCTTTAGGTGTGAGAATTTCAAAGAAATTGTAATAAACCAAATCATCACTAATTTATTAACACATTCAGTATTTTGAATGCATTCAGGCAGCAGAACTAACTAATTCTCCTAAGTACAGGAAGTGAATTCTTACTCTAAAGGGGCTGCTGTCCAATACTATATCTGAATTTGATTTCAAAACTGTCTTCTCTTATTTTCCTTTTAAAACAAAAGAAACAACTAAAAAACCCAAACAAACAAATAAAACAAACACAACAACAACAAAAAACCCTAACACCCCAACAACAAAACAAACAAACAAAAAGCAAACAAAACAAAAATCCTAACTAACCAAAAGCTAGCTGGACAATTCAATGCAACTGTGTGCATTAGAAAGGAAGGAGGACAAGAAATGTCTTGCAGAACTTTAGGTTTCTTCTCATATTTCTCCATTTCAGCTCTTTCTGGAAATAAGTCATGTTTCATGAGTTCTTGTGCAATTCATTGCCTGCTTTACATTATAATTTTTTCAGTGCTTGATCAGCTCACTGAACAGGTCTCTTTCTGTAAGGGCATCTTTCCTCTACATTTCTGTTTCTAGCAGAGATTAATTTTACTCACTCTAATACCTAGACTCAAGGTACCCTGAAGCTGTATGTCAGAATAAGGGCTTCATATCTGTCAAAGATATGTGGGCAGCAGCCACAATGAAATACATATAAACCTATCAGACCACATAAAACAGAACGCTTAGCAAGCTGTGAGCAGTTTGTAAATCATTCTCCAAGCTGTTTTTCCTTGAAGGTGCCTGTCCACTAATAGCAGCAGCAGATGTATACAGGACAACTTCCATTCACAAGAATCTTTTAAACCTTTGCACTGAGTACCCAATCAATGGAATTAATACAACTATGGTCAGTCCTGGAAGCTTCAGGTATTACAAGAGCTTTACAGCCAAGAGGACAAGGACATGTCATCTTCTTTATAAAGATTCTGAATGTTTAAGACAGTTCATAGGGACAACAGTGTTTCACATGGCACAGATCACTGGCAAAAAGTTTGAACTATCTGCATGCCCCATCAATTACAATCTCCTGGCTCAAGCATGTGTAGGAGCTGGCAGGAATACCAGGTGCCTTTCCTAGGACTGTATTTCTGTGGGTGAGGGAGGACAACATGCTAGGCATTCATGCAGTCTGCATGTCAGGCTGGCCACCCCACCACTTGGACCCATGGCTGCCAATGCACCCTCACAGAAGCTGACTGACAGCAATAGACGTACCTTACCACAACCTGTAAGAAGCCACAGCTCCCTCTCTTCCTTCTCAGCCACTACTATCACTTGCCTCTCCGCTTGGCAACTTTTTTCATTTCTTGCATATTTACGCTCTTTTTTAACTACACAGCATCTGGAGAATAAAGCTTAAGGATAACAAGCATATGGTTTGGGGGCTTTTTCTGGCCCTTCACTAGCCTGTGTTACTCATTTTGCAAAGGTAAACTTTTTCTTACTTTGAAAAATGCTCTTCTTCCAGAGGATCAAGCTACTTTTCATACTTGCAAGCATTAAAAATATGCACATTTTGAAATGGCTCCATATTTCAAAGGCAAATTGGAATGTTTTAATATTACTTTTTTTCCATTATTTTGGCTAATTGAATACAGATTTGTTGAACTTAGTACAGACGTTAAAGTTTTAATCAATCTGAATTCAAATCTGAAACAAAAACTTTGTCACCAGAATGTAGCAAAACTAGCAGATGAAAACTAATCTGTTAATAATGGAAGGAATTTTAAGTTTATATTTGAAAACCCTTTTTTCTTTGATATTGTTAACAAGCATTTAACAGCAATTAATTATATGCTTTTGAATAACACAAGTTCTTATTATAGGTTCCACACTTTTATCCTTTCAATTAAGAACTGTATTAAGTGCTCACAAATATTTCTTACACCTCAAAGTGACCCTCAGAAGGAAACAAAAATTTACCTTCATAATATTTCTCAGTTAAAGAAACTGAGAAAAAAAAGCAATGCATAAATACACCATTAATAGGGAGGAAAGCACTGAGGATGATGTAAAAATAGCATTTCTAGTCCACCTGTACAAGCAAGTCTGACAGAAGAGGGAAAAGAAACAGAGAAAGAGAGCCAGAAAAAGTCCACTATCAGCAGTACACTAGTGATAGGAATAAAACTGAGTGTGCAACCCATGGTTTTGGCAATACCACGTCCAAAAACTAAACCTCATTACCTCATCCACAGATGTTGTCTCATGTAGGCAATAAACCTAGTCCAGGCCTTATTTATCTAAAGTAGAAGAAATTACTAGGGACAGGAGACAGTGAATGGTTTTAATAGAAGAATACTGAAACAAAATGGAACCTGCTGTTCCTTGTCCAGAAAAGGATTTTAATGAGAGAATAGCACAAAACCAGTATAGGCCCTGCTATTTCAGAGAAGAATACTGCAGCAATAGCATGAGCTCTGAAATTTTCTATTTTCCACTTGCCCTCTCTGTAACTGTTACATATAAAATAAGCAAGCATTGCTGGCTTGAAAAGTAAAATAGATCTATTTTGTAATATAATTACTTCAGGAAATGAAAGGCAGAAAAAGAAAGTGGATATGATTGTATCATATGAAAGATACACAGAGATATTGGAAAAGTTAACAGATGAATGAAGGCCTTGGTGTAATGTTTCCTTGCACTGAGACATTCTGCTGTTGAGAGAGCTCTGCAGACACCATCTCATTGCAGAGTCAGGATCAGATCTTCAGTTCCCCAGCCAGTCCTGCACTACAGGTAAGAGGATGTGAACATTTAACTCTTTTATCCCCAGACTCTACTAATCGCGACTCTCTTGACATGATTGAACGGTGCATATGCCTGGTATGTCTGGACAGCCCAAGCGGGGTGGAACTCAATGATACAAACATGGCATTGCAACTGCTACATGGGGGAGGCTACCATAAAAATGGGGCCAATCGTTGGTATGACAAACCTATGCAGGTAAAAACTTTACAATATTATGATATTACTTGCATGTGACTAAGGACTTCAGATGCCTTTGTGATAGGGACCACGCAGAAGCAAATCAGAGAAAGAGGGAAAGGTGGTGTCCACATCAGCCAAAGGCAGGCTTGGCATAAGTAATGCTTTTCCTTGCAAGTCAGGGGAAGCTGAGCCACTGCCTTGCTGGCATAAGGGGGTGGGGAGACTTCTCCAACACATGTATGATTTCATCTTCTTTGAAGTTGCCCTTTCCTCTTGAGGAGGTAGACAGATACAGAGACACACAGGTAGGTAGAAATCTGATTTTTAAAAAGTAATAAAAATGTACACATTTAATTACATTCAATCAAATGAAATAAACACGCTGGTCTAGCATGCCAAAACAAAAAAGAAAAGCACAGTAGCTTTCTCTGTTTTCTCACACATTTTTCTGATCCCTTAGAAATACTACTAATTATAATTGAGCATGTGTTTAAATTAGCAAAATTAGCATAAGCTCTTACTTAACAGACTGTTTACTCATTTAATGACATTTATTTTGAGACTTTCCTGGATGTATTGCTTTCTCCAGCCTTCTTTCCCATCGGATTTTGATTGTCTTATTTGAAAGTTTTTTTCACATTTTGCAACAGACCCAGGGTGAAGCAATGTATTACTCTCCAACTCTCAAGAATATTGATAGATCATGAAAAATTGAAAAAACCCTGATTTACACAATGCTTGTTGCTCTTGCCATATCTAAGAATAGCAACATGAGAAGTGAAACCACTGATTTCACTTGCAGTGACTTACCTCAGTGCAAATACATTTCAGTGGTCGTTCCTGATTAATGCCACTGCAAATGACATTATTAGCAAGGTCCAGTGCTATGTTTTAAAGAACAAACCATTTGTCTTTAGTTAGAATCCTCTGTTATTTGCAGGGCCATTGGTTGAGACGCTTTAAGCGATGAGAATTAATAAGACTTTTTTTTTTTTTTTTACTATCAGAAGGTGGCAGAAAACAAATAAATTTGCATAGTATATGCGACAGCTTTGTCTGTCCAGATGTATTCAGGGCAGAAATAGTTTATAGGTGAAGAAAAATTCTTAGGGAAAAAAGATCCCATTTTCATTCATGCAAATACAGATTACATAGGAAGCCATTCCCACAGCAGGACTTGCTCTTTCTCACCATATTCTTCTTTGACTTTGCAGTGAAGCATCAGAAAATGTTGAGGGACAGATTTTGTATCACACACTCTGTGAAAGTCTCACAGGAACCAAGGAGGCAGAATGTGTCTGTGTGATACAGAAGTGCAGAGTGAGCTGAGTGGGAAAAGTCCAGTGAAAGACACTTCAAAAGAAGTGGGGGGAAAAGTCCAAGGAAAAGGACAGGACACAACATGAGTCAAGCTGCAGCTTTGTCCTAGACATCTGCTTTTGTTTGAGATGCAGAAGTAATGACCTGCATAGGGGTATCACAGAACTACAGTGCAGCAGGTTAAGTGTTACCAGTTACATTGTGCATATGCAATGAGATCAAGGACAAAGACAAGTAAGAAGGAAATAAAGAAAACACCACACACACACACAAAATATAAAGAGGAAGGAGGGCAGTAAAACAAGCTATGAGAAAGCTATCAAATAAGACTGAGCCAGCTCATTCGATACCATGTTTGTAATAAAATGTGATCCTAAAGAACTTCCCACACACAGAAGTTGCATTGCTCCCAGGTGTGGAAGACGAACCCTGGCCTGCCTTCCCCTTGATAGGTTTTCTCTACCACAGAGCAGATGCCAAATCCAATTTCTGGCTTTCAATGGAAATTGCTAAAATTTACATACTCACAGGACTCAGTCCAAAATAACAGCATGAAGGGCATCTGATGCAATCCCATTTACAGGACAAGAAAGTGTCCTGCAGTAAGTCTGTAAGTCACCCATGATCTGTAAGTCAAGAAGTTCCTGATATGAGGAATAAGAAAACCACAAGAGAATGACATCATCTTTTGTTTGGTTGCCATCATGGCTAACTTACCCCAAACCTGACTTATTCCCTATATGTCTTGTACTTGTTCTTTTCGTTGCTCAGTTTGTGGTAGGAAGAGATGGAGTCTGCGGTACCGTGTGTGAACATTCCCCTTTTGATGGCATCGTACTGGTGCAGTGCACTGAACACTTGCTCAAGCACATGTGAGTCCACTTTCACTACAGCTATTGTACCCACTCCAGCCTCTGTCAGTGGCAAATTCCCCCAATGTGCAGGACCATTAAGACCCACACAGCTGTTGGAAACCAGTCATTTACCTGCTAAAAAAGCACTGTTAAACAAATAGATTATTCCCATGAACTTAATGACTTTTCTCTTCCATACTAACAGGAAAGAAAGCTCCAAGAAATTAGTCCGAGCTGATTCAGTGAGCGAGCTTCCTGCTCCACGGAGATTAAGATGGAAATGCTCCCCTGAAATTCAGGCACACTTGGCATCATCAGCAGAAAAACTCCAAAGGTAGAGAAGACGCCTCATTTTTCACACCAATAACTACAAGATAGGAACTACCCATCACAGTGAGTGGAGGCATAGGTTTTCTCCTAGATGACTCTCCCTGCCTTCCCTCCCCCTCCTCATCTTCCCAAATTGGACATACCAAGCATCTCTTGCAGGATGGCACCCTGATGGGCTGGAGCTACTTGACTGCATTCAGGAAATGCATTACCATTGTTTTTCTTATATGTAAATATTAGGAAAGTTAAAGACCACTGGAAAAACAGTTGAGTCCTAGTCACATGGGATACAAACAGTGCCGGTCCTCTCTTTGTGGATGTAGTTTATAGGTTTGACCTGACCAAAGTCAAGGCAATGGGGATACATATATAGGACAGCAGATAACAACTGTTTTGAATAACAATTAAAATTCAGGAATGTAATTTGTTTACATCCATGTTGCTCTTACAAACATTAGTTATGCTGACTGTTTACAGACTGTAAAAGATCTGCATGATCTTTGGGGATGGGGATGAAAATGAGAGACCTTTTTTTGTGTGTAATTATTTAATCTCAACTCTCAGATCTGTAGAATCTCTGCAGAGAGACCACATACATGGCAGTATGAAAACATGCAGGATGCACAGTAATTCCTTTTTGTTTTTAAATAAAAGTAGTAGTCCTGTACGCTGAAACTTGCAAGGAGTTTACAGCCTTTGTCAGGTTTTAAATCCACCCATTTCTTACTCTAGTAAATCTCAGGGAAATTTGCTGAGAACAAAGGTGGCCTTGACTTAGGCTTCAGGAATAGAAACACTAGGCTTAAAAAAAAAACCAAAAAACCTCCCAAAAAAACAAAACAACAAAAAGCCACAAATATGTTACTCAAATGAACAGAATTACCCTAGTGCCACAGTTCACGTTAAGGCTGCAAACAAGCCAGGTCTGGAATAAAAATAACTGTCTAGAAATAAGTTACCAAATGCCAGGACTGTTTGCAGAACAGGAGCCCACTCACCTCTGAGAGGGTACAGGCAGGAAATTATCACTGTTTTTTATTTGCAAATGGAAATGGAACATGAGATTCTTGCATCTCCCCTCACAGTAACTGCCTCTGCTTGTTTTCCAGACTAGTACAAAATCTGGACTTTATCGCCTACAAGTTTGAGAACTATGGAAAGGAATTTATTAAGAAACAAAAGGTTAGCCCAGATGCTTATATTCAAGTAGCACTTCAGCTGGCATTTTACAGGTATGTTTAATTCAAATCATAGGAACAAGGTAGCACAAGAGGAGATTCACAATTTGTTTTTTATACAGAGGGGCCTATTTTTTCTTCAGCACCCCAACAAATGCTTCCTGCATGGAAATGAGTGATCATGCCTAATGACCATAGGTCAGACAAGATAGAAATTACCCCCCGGTTCTGAGACAGAGTATTCCTTTCCATATCCATCCCCTGCACTGCAGGGGCAAAAGAATTCACAGGGAAAAATACTACAGCAGCATAATAGATCACAGTTCCTACACAGGATAGTAACTACTGCTGCTTCCCTCTTCACAGGCATCCCAAGATTTTATAACATTCCCTAACTTCATGGTGTGATTAAAGTTAAAAGCTCCTTTCGACATTGTCAGAACAGCTAATGCTCCAGGCTAGAGATCAGTTGCGTGGTTTCCTGCAGAACAGCCTATTGCACAAAAAATCCTTTATCATGTCAAATTAAATGCTGAAGTAGTCTTTACCTAGGCAAAACCAGAGACGCCTAACACATTTTGTGTACTCCATTAACATCTGTTAAACATTCATTTTGCATATTCCAAACTGCAACACTGACCTGGTCCAAGGTTTTCATCTGGATCCCAGCCATTACATAAATCTCTCACATGCAACAAAAACTGTAGTGCAGAGTTATGTTCTGAGACTCCTGCTACAACTGGAAGGCACAGGAGGTCTCCTGAAGCAAAGAACAGTAGCTATATACCTGGACCCAAATTAAACAACAGTCTTCATGCTTTGTTCAATTTTATTTTCATTCCAGCACATTGTCTCAAATAGTATCCTTTTCCCCTTTTAGTTTTCTAATTTTCATTCACCTACAGAGTGCATTTTTTCTTGTTTTAAAGAAAACATATTTTGTGCCCATAAGTAAATGATTAATTACACAATTACTTTGTGATGCAGTACAAATAAAACATTATTTGAGAACTTTCAGTAAATTCTAGCTTTACTAGCCTTGTTTTTACACAGCAAGTCATTTTTTACTGGCAATGTATCACTAAAATGTATACAGCTGTATGCAACTTCTCATATTAGAAAAGAATGACTATCCATCTTTTTTAAGTTTCTTATAGAATTCTATCAACATTAAGATGAATATTATGTAAAAAATAAAATTGTGGCTGTAACAATAAAATGTACCAAGCCTATATTTCTTTTAGTCTTTATGACTTGAAAATAATTTTCTTTGTTTTTCTTACATTATTCTCTCAGATGCCACAGGAGACTTGTTCCTACCTATGAAAGTGCTTCCATACGCCGATTTGACGAGGGCAGAGTTGACAATATTAGGTCTGCTACCTTGGAAGCATTTGCTTTTGTAAAAGCAATGACTGATGACAAGACAGCTCTATCGGTATGTTTGTCTGTCTCCCTCTGCCTTCATGGTGAAAAAACTTCATCAAGCTACTAAAACAACACTCCAAACTGTCCTGACATCACCCAGCAAAAAGAAAAATTAAATTGCCTTTCTTTGAGACACCACCATCTGTTTGCCAGAAGTGTGAATACTGTACATATAGTAGATGAGGATGCAAAAAGGTGCACCTGACAGAACTGAGACTATAGCTGCACAAACAGCTTTGTGCACTGTCCCTCCTGTTATCCCTGCAGAGCTTCCCTCAAAGTCTCTCTGTGTGCCATTTCCACCCACTGCACTTCACTGCTGTATAGGGAATTTCCAGGTGGCTGTTTAGATGTAAAATGCTGCCACAATATAGATTATTTTTCACAGTAAGACTACTCCTGTGCAACAGTCCACATGACTGCTCTTTAGAATCTATCATAGCATTGTTAGAAGTATTGCTGGACTGTAGATTTAAGTGTAAATTAATGAAATATTGTCAACCAAGCTCTGATGTCCCAGAAGATGAGGAAAATTTTCCAAAAAAAGTGCTCTGTTCCTCCACTGCTTGTTCAGTCTCCTTAAGGTTACCGTGCCCAGAAGTTAGCTCATGATGAACAAGACTCAAGTTTAAGTTCCATGTTTAAATGAGAACTCAAAGGAAATCTGAAGTAATTCCCTACCATACAGTAGACAAGAAGAGGCTGTTGTTATATGCTTTCAGTGTCCTGTCTGACAACACGGTTCTTAATTGTATTTCATCAGAAGCTGCTGATATCTGTGTACACGTTCCTCTTCACACTTAGGGTGCTCAGCACACCCTCAAGCCCCTACACACATTTCTGCAGGCTGACTGAACTCCTAGGAGGAGCCAGCCCACTCCTAGCATGTTGTTTTGCCAGATCCTTTTTCAACAATTTCTTCTACCTTCCTTATTCCAACACTTACTGACTTTTGCAGCTTTCCTAAATCTTCAGCATTTCTCACCATTTTACCACACAAATCTGAGATTGTGCCCACCTTTCACAGCATCCTAAACTGTATTGCCTCACAGAAGTAAGCAGAAGAATGCCATGCATGTCTACAATAAGCTCAGTCTCAGCCCCCAAATAATCTTTATAATGCATGCCATGGCAGTTCCAAATAGAGAGAATAATGGCTTCATTCTCCCTGAAAAACCTGCAGTCACAATGCAAACCAATCCACTGATAGCTTTCCTGGCTTCTTGCCCACAGTCAGATATAAAGGACATTTAACTGATCTGTAATTGTTCTTTCCCACAAACTTTTAGAAATCTTAATTTTGATGTGAACACCTTTCAGTTCAAAACTATATATATTGTTGTCACGGAATAATTAGAAACAAAATTAACTTAACATAACCCTACTCCAAGGTGATTTCTTTCAATATTGTTTCTTAATAGCTATTAATCCAAAACAAATTTAAAACATTTTTCTCTCTGATGCTAATAAAAAGCATCTTCAAATGATGGCTTGAACAGTCACCAAAGACTGAGCAAGTAGATTGATTCTCTAGCAGGAGAATATCTCATGCATTTGACACGTGCTGTAAAAGAAGCAGCCACTGACACTGCAGAGATTGCTGAATTGCTGTAAAATAACCAGATTTAAAGACTGCATTTGGTATTTAATCTGTATAACAGAAATAAGGCCCAGCTCTAGCCCTGTGAAAAAATATTAGGCACTCTACTTTGAAGGTCCCTGATGGTGGCCTTGAATTCCTTCTAAAATGAATTTTTTGTTCAAAAGATCATTCATCGTCCATAGGAGTTGAAGATTCCCCATTTATCTGGAGACCCAGTCATTTCTGGCTGTTTCAGGGTCTCCCAAAGTTGCGGTGTTGGACTTGATGTACAGCAGGGCAGCACTTCTTAGGATTGTTCCCTTAATATATAGAAGGCTGCCACTTGACAGGAGTCAAAATTTACTATCTTGTTATCTGAAATGTGACACACCTGTGGAGGGTAGAGCAGCCTTGGAAAATTGTAGATGCTTTTTCACACAGGGGAGTCATTTTTTCAGCAGCTAGTCAAATATCAGTAATGGCTTTCATTATCACTGTCATTGTCTAGCTAAACCATTCTGAAGAAGTCATACAGCCTGGCTGTTTTGAAAACACTGAATAACATCAGGCAATTATTTCCTCTACTTCAAACTGAGTGATTCAATTAGTAATATTCTACACCCTCAAAATCCATTAAAGGAAGGAATCCATGAAAGAAACTCCAAGTCTTTCCTTAACTTCAAACAAACCACCACCAATAAGCCTGTTCGACTCGTGCACAACCAGGCACCATTGCTGATCAGGATATCAAATCTCAGTCGCTTTTCATTTATAAAGAGTACTTCTACCTGAGTCAGGAGCAAAGGACATTTGAGAGTGTTTGCTGTTTGGCTGCTGGTTAATTGAGGGAAGACACCATGTCTTTGAGAGTTTATTTAATAATAGATATATTTTGATTCTCCCAATAGGATTTGGAGAAGATGCAGAGATTTAAGGATGCGATTGCAGCTCAAACTAATTACACTATTCTGGTAAGTTAAATACTTTCTTGTCTGAATAAGGACTAGCTAGTTTTTTTTTCAGGAAATGTATGAAGATGCAATCATTAACTATTTAAGCAGCATAAAATATAAGCATCACTAAATACAAAAGTACATGCTATGTCACACCTACAAAAACTTCTGATGACCCAAACACCCTGAATATAGACATATTCAGCTAACCTTACCTTAAAAAATAGTTCCTGGTAAGCAAAATAACAAAATTCTGTATTAGATTTCAGTAGAAAGAACATTACTCTTGGGCATTAGCTCTCTTATCTAGAACTGTCATGGAACATGACACTCTGTATTCAATATATTTATGAGGAATGTACATCTGTTAAATGCTTATGATTTGTATCTGTGTCATAATTAGGAGTCCCAGACATTAATTAGGATTCCACTATTTAGTGCTGTACAAATTGACAATTTAAAAATGGCCTCCATCTTAAAAAGCTTGCAATGAAAACTTAATAAAGATATTTTTTTAATAATTATTGAAAGGTTTTCGAAGACAAACAGTAGCTAGATGAAATCAGCCTTTATTCAGTGTGCTCTGTGATCAACAGGAAATGTTAGTCATGCAGATAGTCAAGAAAAGTGGCAAGGACAGCTGAAAGTCTTATCAGGATGAGAAGTAAGCAACCAATTTAACTGCTGTGAAACACACATCAACTCCAGATGCAAAATCCAGATTCCCCCAAATTTACAGGTATTTAGGCCTCTAAGCTATAACATTTCAGATAAGGTCAAGAGAGCTGTAACACATCAGGAACTTTTCCCCCCTAAAACTAGCCGTTATGCTTTTTCTTACGTTCCACTTCCCTAGAGGAGAGAGGTCCTTATCTAGGATCCAATCCGCAGATGGACTGGCATTCTGAAGTGCAATTTCTAATAAAGGTCATTAACAATGAGAGAATGATTATAGTAAGCTCTCTTTTAAAGACCTGAATGCAGTGTCTAATAAAAGCAAGAGATCCCCTGCATTGAAGAAATCAGTTTAGTATCAAATACAACTCATTTTCTATTGATTAAAAATGAGACAATTCAGCCTGGGTAATGCTCTACATCCCACTGTGCCAAGACAAAGCACAGACTCACTCTACAAACAACTTAGTCAAACCACTCATGAAATTAATAAATGTTAATAACCAGCTGTGTTAAGTGAATTGGCTACCTATGGTTCTGCCTCAAACCACTGTTTACCAAACCTACACTGCTGATTACTGTTTAAACAGCTATCATATACGAGAAAACATTCACTTCCAGAGCTGGATTCAAAGGTATACTCAAAGTACTGGAGAGGTGAAGTGTTGCTTCCAGGCAGGATTTGTTCCTAACACCATGAAACAAAAGAAGCAGTAAAGAAAAGCAGTTTCAAGTATTGTGTTGAAAATCCTCAACTTAGAAGCTGAGACTTAATGTCATCTCTAAAGCAGAGATAACTCACTTCAGGGCAACTGTCTCACCTGAACCACCTCAGGGTAATGTCAATATGAACTCAACATTCTGTAGGTCTACTAGGTCACAACCAACAGAAGTTTTGCACAGTATCTCTTAAAAAAAAATAAAAAAAAAATAAAAAAAAATCCATAAAATCCCCCCTCCAAGTAATTTAATTTCCAGAAACCATTATAAAATTCAGCCTCCATTGTAGCTTATGGGAAAATATTAAAATCTTCATAGAAAAATTAATTTATCTTTAAATTTTAAAAGCTCTCCAGGCTTTTCTACTCTACTTCCCTTTCTCAGAATAGCAGAATGTAACTGTAGTGCCTTTAAACTACAGACAAGACTTACATGGTCTGACTAAATTATGTGTAGCAGACTGAAATGTAATAACTCCTAAGAAAAACAAACAATCTACTTCATAAACCAAAAAGCAATTTAATTATTTTATTTCCCCTTTTTAGGGCTTACTAGTAGTATTGCTATCGTAAATGTGGAGCTCTAAAATTCAATTTAGCACAGTTTTTTCCTATGTGTTGACTCACAGTTTATTTTGTTAGCCTGTCTTGGTCCCTCTTCAGACATGACATTGATCTATGTAGCAAAAATGTCATTGCTAACAGCCTTATAAATCTTGTGTAATGGCAAAAATATTTCCTTTGATTATCAAGTCAGTTTCCCTCTGTGGGAAAAATAATGTAAACACCACCCTGATGTATGCTACTTTTTTGCAAGCATCCTTGTTCCATCTGGGATGATGAACAAATAGCCCCTTTATCAATGGGTGCCTACTCGTTAATAAACCAAACAAGATTATGCACACCAGGCCCCCTGCTTCAGGCACTTATTAGTGGTTAAAACTTTGCTCCTAAGAGGATAAGCAAACTTGTGCTTATTTTGGTTTTTTTGGTGGGTTTTTTTAATACAAGCTTGTGCTCTTTTTTAAACCTTCTCTCAAGTTGCTTGTTTCCCTCATTACAAGGAGCCTGCACCACAAGGTTGTCAATTCTGCTCTTAGTGGACTACAATGTCCCTTATTCAGCATTTCCTTCCTACATGAATTCAGCCTGTTACTGGGGATGAGCTACAGCTCAGCCCCCATAATTAAATGCTCTCACCAGCTAGAATAAACCTGGACTGAAGGATTTCAAATGCATGTTTTAGACTGAGGCAAATCCTGCAGCTCAGTGCTGCAGTAACAGCTTAGTGATGTTCTTCAGATGCCAAATCTTCCATTTGGTTTCCTAAAGAAACAAAACTCTTTAACTACTCTGTCTGCCCATCTCACACTAGTGACTTTTGATCCTGTTAGCAATCTTCAATCACGTTTGCCAGCAGGGCAAAGATCTTAAAGCTTTAATAAATTTCTTAAGTCTCTAGCAATTGGTAGGTGCATAGAGCAGAGAGACCCAAGCATAGCAAGCTCACGGCAAGATTTCCTGTCAGCTCAGCAGTAGCTCTTTTGAGCTGGCTAGCCGGCCACCAAGCGTGCCCCTGCTGCTCATGTTCAGCCACTGCACATGCTGCCGATCACCTCACCTGCAACCACGAGACAGCAGGGGAAACTGGGGACATTAGTGAGCAGGGGCAAGCATGGCTGGTTTTTGCTGGGGATGATGGTGAGCAGAGACACACACAAGCAGGATGGCAAGTAGACTGTGCTAGGTCTCTTTCTTGTCAAGTACATTATTCTCCCTTGTTAAGCCCTGTTTAATTTGATTCTATACTCAGAGAATCTGTCCTACACTTACTGCTTCCAATTGCCTTATTATAGCAAGGGCTGAAATAAGGGCTGCCCCTGACATTATCCAGCCCTGCAATGACATCAGCACAGGGAAGGGGGGAGTACTGGGATACTTGGGCAGTGAATTAAATTGAGAAGGAATCTGTGTCCATAATCTCAGTCTTCTAAAGTAGTGGAGTATGTTACTAGATCTGTGATAGATCACTGGTAAATCCATCTGATCACTTTTAAATCTGTTGCACACATCTACCAAATCTTTGGATCTAAATGCTATGGAATGACATACGCTTTACCTGCCAGAGTGATACACAGTCAGCAAGGCAATTAAAGTTTTTTTCCAATTTGGAGGTGGTTTGGAGCCTCTTATCTTGAAATACAATCCAAATTATGCACAGGAAATTCCAAAACACACTTAGCTCCCGTCAGCAGTTTTGGAAGGCCAGTCCATGATATTTAGCTCAGAGATGTGATGAACACCCAGAACACCAGATAACATCACCACGTAATACAGCTCAAGACCACCTCCTTCCTAATTTTTACATCTTCAGAGCACTGTATGGATTTCTAGTTACTGATCATCAGCAACATAGATACTCAGAGTAATATCAGAACATTACAGGCATTACATCACTCAACCCAAGTTCATCAACTCTGACCAGAAAACAAGGCAGTAACAGCCAAGAAAATGTCTCCATACTCAGTTAAATGCTGGTGTCTTATATTGTACACAGGCTATTACTGGAATGGCAATAGACAATCATCTATTAGGGCTCAGAGAGGTGGCACGGGAACACTTCAAGGAACTACCAGAGATATTTACAGATGAGACATATTTGACAAGCAATCGATTCATCCTCTCAACCAGCCAGGTGAGTTTCTCCTCTTTACTGGTCTTGCTGCACAAAGGCTAATTCGTTTGTGTTCTGCCAGACTTTGTAGCTCACAGTTGAGAATGATTATTTATGAAAAACAAAAAAACACAAAAAACCTGATACACCAAGAAGTCGACAAGATTCCTCAGATTTTTTAATCGAGTTTTGGTTCATTCTGCAAAATCAGCACAGTAAATACTGCCATTAACACTTCCTTTGCAACATCCCAAAGTCTTTCCTGGAAATTCTGGAAACGTACACAAACTCACTCAGTAAAATTTGTACCAGGACTCAGTGTTTCCTTATTTTCCAAACAATGTATCTTCCCATTCCCTTTTTAATCCTCCTTTCCCTAAAGTGACAGCTTTAGTGGGAATTATTTGCTCCAGTGACAGTACAACCACAAGCAAGATGGAATGACACTCTGAGAAACAAAAACCAAGAGCCATCAGAAAATTCTACTCCTAAAAGTAGCTGTGTTAGAAATCTTGAAGAGCCTTCAGTTACTTGGTGTAAGACTGCAATCTCTGCAGGCATGCATCTTAGATTTACAGACATTTTAGACCTTTACACACATTTATGGATTTACAGTTATATCTACTAAATATACTAAAATACTCAGAGTCAACGTTTCCTATGTTTAATGTCCTTGATAAGGAAACATCTTTATAGCATACAGCCTAAAATTAAATGTTTCATTACATATAGTATCTGACCTAATGAAAGAAGAAATCTATGTAGGAATTAATTTACTGAAACCCTAACCCAACTGCACAGATTGGAAGTATGCAACAAAAGAGACTTACAACATCATGCTACACCATAAAGTCTTAATAAGTAATGTGATCTTGTCATAATGTTTGTAGGCTTTCAGACGTGAGTGAATGCAACCAACATACTACTACATAAATTCTCCAAGAAACTGTCCATGAGCAAAGAGTACTTCTGAATAGCTTTATGGCCTTCGGCTGTTGCACAGCAAATTTATCTGACAATTCTATGGCTCTATTAGCAGGACTAATGGCTTGTTCTACACCATTAAAAAGCCAGATGTCATTTGTGAAGGTCCATGTACACAAAGTCTGAAACATAGATTTCTAACACATACATATCTTATTTTTTGCAGTAGAAAATGTTCCCCTCCTGCATTATGCCATGATTAAGCTGAGGTGTAACAGAAATGTAACACCTAGATGCATTAAAACATGTTTTTATACTGCATCACAATTATAAAGTATTACTAGAAATGGACAACACTACTTTCTATAATTGGTTACAATCTTCACATAACCTTAAGATACCCTTAAGAAATTAAAAACCTTAGCAAGTTTTCTGTATCATAATTTTACATTTCAGAATTACACACAGCCTTAAAAATTCCCTATCAGTAACAAAGCTAATAGCTGTTAAAGCTCTACATAAAGCAAGCAAAGAAATGCCTTATAGCCACTTCAAACAATACCAGTTTTCAAACACTGGCAAACAAACAAAGCAACCAAATTCTATACTGAGATCAACTTTTACCTTGTAAGTATCAGCTTCAGGTCTGGACTTCTGAATAAAATTATATTCTTTAAGGGGGATTCACCACACTCTCAGCATTTGTACCTTCCGTTTCTCTTTTCCCTCATTCCTAACCAGCTGATCTCAGGTGTCTTGATTAATCAATCCGAGTTAACTCCTTACTTTCTCCCTGCAACCAGGTTCCAACTACTATGGAAATGTTCTGCTGCTATGGGCCTGTGGTGCCCAATGGTTATGGAGCATGTTACAACCCTCAGCCAGAGCATATATTATTTTGCATCTCAAGCTTTAAAGATTGTAAAGAAACCTCATCAGACATGTTTGCAAAAGCTGTGGAAGAGAGTCTCCTGGCAATGAGGGATCTGTGCAACAAATGCAACTCTACCATGACAAAGCCATTTGCTAATCAAGAAGCAGCCACACAGCTGCAGAGTGACCACAAAATCTAGGAGGCTGTAGGAATTATTCTCCTGAATTTACCTTAAGTAGAAACAATGATCTAGTTGTTCAAAAGCAAGATAGTACTACTAATATATTAGTGTAGAACCAAAATGTCATTTGTTTTGCATTGTTGCCAACATCTAAAACCCTGTAAGTACTAACTATACCGCTTCTTGCTTGAGAACAAAAAAGTTCTGGTCTCACCAGCTGAAATGGAGGAAATAATAATGAGTATGTGTTGTACTACCATTTCTAACCATCATCAACTTAGGCCATTTTATCAGCTAAAAAATTGGCTAAGTTTCTATGTGACAAATTAAATACCAAAGCACATCAATTAATTAGTATCCCTTGCAAGTAGTTCTGAAAAATTCACAGCTATTCCTGCAACATTTGCATGTAAAGAAAAAAGAAAGAAATTTTGCCTTTCAGGAATGTTGAGAATAACATTAAATAATAGGTTGATGCCATTAAATCTTGAACTTTTGCATGAAGGTTACTTTATACCTCAAAGCTATCTCCTACATAAGAAAAACATTATTTTTAAGAGTGGCCACTGTGTATTTCCACAAAAGGAGTTTAGGAATATCAAACTTGTGCTTGTATGTTCCACCAATTAAAAAATGCTGCAGAAATAATTTATCTTTTGTTCTGGTTTGCACTGGCCTCAACCACAGACCCATTCTGCAAGCAGCATACTGAAGATAAGATCCATCACAGAGAACTGGGAGAATATTTCTCTAATAAATTTGCTTTGTTATTTCTTTCTACCAATGAGTAAAATTCAGTCTGTCAGAGAGGCAAAGCATAGGTGCAGTTCAGTCATATATAAGACCCTTTCTGTTTGCACAGAAATTAATTTAGTCACTGTGACTAGCAGGAGAGTGTATGCAACCACACAAAATCAAAGAGCAATAAATAACCAGAATTAAGAGGCAAACTTGCAATATGAGGAAGTCTCCAAGCTAGAGCTAAAAATACCAGTTTGAGAGCATTGGTACTCATATCAGCTTTGCATCATCCCACTTGGGAGGGATTTATATTTTATATCTTTTTAATAGTAGATGTAGGGTATAATATTCTGCAATATACAGTAAATTCAATCAGGAGAATAGTATTATATCTGGTAATTCTCATATTGCTAGTATTATCCTGACGGATTTCTCATTATCTCTCTCATTCCCTACAAACCCTTTCAAGGCCTGAATTTTTTCAGTTACCTTCCTTCTCTCAAGCTGATACATTATGTCTTGCTTAGAGATGTTCAGTCATCATTGTTAGAATACAACTTACTAACTCCAGTGCAGATGCTTTGCTAGGCAAGCTGGAGCCCATTCAGAAGCCTGGCCAGGGGCTGCTTACTTGCCTGTGGAGAAGCAAAGAGATTTTTAATTTCTTCCTTTGAAGGCTGAATAATCACAGTCTTAAGCACTCTGAAGCTTAAAAGTGGGATAATGATTTATTACTGTAAACTGGAAGTGGAGATACGTTTCTGTCTAAGACCTCTAGATATGGATTCAGTAGATTATGTATTACCATGCTTGTTTTACTGCCTCTTTGGAGCTGCATACATGCAACTGAGCAGTCTGCTGGATAAAGGCTATCCACAGTGCCAGGTATGAAAGCACAGTGGGCCTGACCATCAATTGGAGCAAGTCAGATATATTGGAGCAAATCAATTGATTTACAGTGATTGAGAGCTGGGCTCATTCTTTTAAAGTTAATGCATTCATTTAAAAATATTTATGTTTCATTACTCCATGAGTTGTGGTTCAAACCAAAGATGAAATCTATTTTTAGATTATGTAAATTATAATATGGCATAAAAGCTGACCCAAAGTTAAAACATATTTAAAAAAAATAGCAAGAACTGTTAGTAAAACCAAATGTTCACTTAATAAATATACTGTTTAAAATATTACTATCCTATAATTATCCTATAATTATGAAAATTACTTTGAAACATTCCCAGTCATTTTGCTTTGTTCTGTCTCATGTCACTACAAAGGCATTCTGCATTTTTTACCTAAATGTAGCACTTCAATCTCAGGATTTTTTTGCAGAACTGCATGTTTAAAATAATAACCAAATTTTAAGTGTGTAAAAATGCTGTCAATAGTTATTTTATTATTTATTCATTTGCTTCTAATGAAATATATAAGTTAAGTTTGTATCCCTAGTTTCGTAGGTACTGATACTTATTTGCAAATATTACCTGTGTTTTCATTTTAATTTTCTGGCTGAAATTTTAATAACGGCTCAGACAATGTACTCAATACATAGTCACAGAGAATTCAGACAGAACCTACAACCACACCTGAAATTTTATACCAGTTTATCATTCAGAGCCCCTTACTTGACTAAAGCTGCTACACTTGAAAGTACTGACACCATATTTTTGCTCAAAGAAGAAACCCATGACCCCCCATACTTCCTTTTAATTCACCTAGCCAGTCCATAGTTGTATCTTACATCCTTACTGATCTGGTTTTAGTATTTGGCCTCAATACCTGAAATTAGTAGCTTCAACAAACTCAGTCCCTGAGGAAAAAGACATTTGCATTCCT